CGTTTAAATGGCGATCCAAGTAACGGCTTAACGCCTCGATTATAAATACGATGATTTATACCCGTTTCAGGTAGGATTGTATGCTTAATTGTAGTTGAATGTGGCAGAAATATTTTAAATAACAATAATCTGATTCGCGTTAGATCATCTCTTATCTCGAAACATGGAGGGTTGAGAGATGAAGTTTGTTATCTACTATACGCTGTACCTTGCCAGCCCCCCTGTCATGTATCACCGATAATGGAGGTCGAACACTGGACCACCAGGTTAGCGAGTCAACGTCTTACTCAGTGAGCCAAAGTGGTTCCAATTAAAGACTACAATCTAAAAGTAAACAGTGCGATGGTTTGTTTTGCTTATGACCAACCCCTTGTTTATATACACACTAATGGGGTAAATTGATAAAGATTTATCAAAGTCTTATCTGTATATTATAAAAAGAGATAACCCTAGTAAGATAAGGCTGGCAAACAAACCCACATTACAGCAATGCATGACTTAATTCCAAGAAGTTAACATTATGTAGGCCATTTACATACGCTAAGATAAGGCATTTAGGCCAAAAGTTATTAAAGGGAATAGTCCATCCTGGCATCAGTTTCAAATCATTTTAAAATGGCTAGATATCTTTGATTTGGGTAAAAAAAAAATTGCCGATTTGATTGGAATTAATATGTTGATTTGTAGGATGACAATTTTTTTTCATTGAACGTCTACAGATAGTCTAAAGATGTAACAGATTTTGTGTTCCACTATCAAAACAGTAAGCGAAACTGTAGGCCAATTTCATAGTATAAAGCTTGGCAATTCAACTTTATTTTGACCTAGAGGTTTAGCTCCTTTTAAGATATGGATTTCATTTTTGACGTTCTGTGCGCTCTTGTTTTGTTTTATTTATTCATTATTGAAGCCTATGTTGTTAAACATGTACCGGTTATTTCGAGATTAACACATGGCACACTTTTATTTCAACAATTCGCTTGCGCGCAACCAGGTGTTCAGCAGTGGGAGAAAAACGGAGAAAAGTCCATATAGGTAGACACAGAGGCGTATGAGGCCGATGAGTTTTAGGCGGACAGACAATGAAATGCCATAAAATGCAGTCACAGTCGGTGAAGCCAAAGGCGCGAAGCACGACAACAGGTGATATTGGATAATGGGGATGGGGATGGATATGGGTGGTTCAGACGGCCGCAAACGTTCTTTCCTAACATTCTGGCTTGTGAGAGCAACTAGAAAGTGGTCCAATTATAGCCTTATTTCTGTAGCTTTGCAACCGAAATCCTAAGATCTTAAGATTTTGAGGGTGGGGTGGTAGAAATGAAATTGCATGGCGTCGGGGACTATACAGGATTGTGTGTGTGTGTACGTGTGTGTGTGTGTGCGTGGGTGCGGGTGTGGGTGTGTGGGTTGGGGGGGGGGGGCTTGGGTAGAGATGAGATTGTGGAAAAAATTCCCGTTTATATTTCTTCGAGAAATTATGTAAATTAGACGGTCGCAAGCGCCGCAAGTGGTCCGATACAGTCTTATTTATTTGGTTTTCGAACCGAAATTCCAATCAGCTGCATTAACCGGGCACCAGCAATCTCACTTACCGGAAAATGTTTAAACAAATAATGATGATGCCCGAAAAAACTACATATTTCGTCAACATTGGGATATCTATATATTGATTTTACACTTAAAAACTCATGCTTGTGAAAAAATGAATTTATAATAAAGAATATGTCGTTAACTGGAGTTACTTCCCTTGGAAAAGACCACCTTTTTAATAATGAAATGCTATTTTATGTTCTGCGAGGGAAATTTTGGCTGAATCTCGACGCTACGGACTACTCTTATTTCTATTTCCAGTTATCAAGGGTTCTTTAACGTTCACACCAACTTGTACACGGCACCTTGGTACCTTCTCATCCAACGCCGGAATCCAACTCGGGAGTGTTACCCCCTGTCTAGCGCACCAATGATTACACACCGAGCAACCATTGGCTGCTTGCAATCCAATAAAAACGTCGAGTCCGATAAATAATAAAATACGAAAACAAAAACGAATGAAAATGAAAGAACACGAAAAAATTCGAAAAGACCTGATTAAAGGATAATATTGGTGTCAGTCATTATCACATATGTGATAGAACTGGTTAAATACATGCCAAATATAATTTTAACACAGAGATCATTGCTACGGGAGACGTGTAACAAGCACGTGAAGAAACGGAAAGTGACGTCAAACATGACAAACACGAGTTGTCCTTCTATATAACTGGCTGAAGTAACGAGCGATAACAGACAAACGATCGAATTTCATTTCACTGATAATTCAGTTGAAGATGAAAGTTGTTATATGAGACGATGAGAGGATATCTGACAATTAAAATAAAGAATTGGCTGTCAGTAGATAAAAGATAACGAACAAATTAGAAAAAGTCCGTGTATTACCATGTTTTTATTAAGAACAGAATGAATAAAAACGGGGGAATGCACGGGATTTGTCTATTTTTCTCGTGTCCCTTATCTAGTGACAGCCGATTCTATTTTTGAATTGTGAGATACCCTCTCACCGTCCCATATAATAACTTTTCAACTTAACGGAATTATCAGTGAAATGAAATTCGATCGTTTGTCTGTTATCGTTCGTTACTTCAGCCAGTTATATAGAAGGACAACTCGTGTTTGTCATGTTTGACGTCACGTTCTTGTTACACATCTCCCGTAGCAATGATCTCTGTGTTAAAATTATATTTGGGATGTATTTAACGAGCTCTATCACATATTTTATAATGATTGACACCAATATTGTCCTTTAAAGATAAGCAGATATAGGTTTTAAAAGAAGTTAATCAGTAACAGCTCTTCGTATAATCTTATAGTGTTAAGTATGTAGGAGCTATTTTAGTTTATTTAGGCATTTAAATGTAAGCCATGAATAAGATATTGAAATCAATTCTATATACATGTACTGTTCCATTTGCACACCAAGTAATCGGTCAACTAAGGAGAGTTATTAAATTTGGTTATTAACTAGTTAGGATTACGGCCTAAATTAAACACGGAAAGGGTGAAAATGTAATTTGTTTCCAGATGGCCACTGCTTACACTCTGGTTTGTCGCCTAGGTAATTCATATCTCACGTTAACAAAAGTACACCAAATTCCAAAATGCTTATAATTATAATATGTACTGATAACACCAACCCATACATCGAAACAGTGGTAAATCTACCACATCTTCTCAAATGGTGAAAACTGTGTGTTAAATAATTAACACATCGGTGGACTGTTGCATTGATTAGCTTATTGTTCTCTGATAAAACAATAATTTCGTGAAAGATCTGCCCCAAACACTATAGCTTACACACCTTACAACACCCATAAGCTGAATCTGGCGATAACCACAGCGTCGCGGCTACCTCAGATAAGAAATTGCATTATCGCTGTCAATAAAACGTTACAGTTCTTCAATGCGTAGAACAAACGTCAAGGTCATGGAACGACAGGAGAACAAAACCGGACAACGGGACCTATGTAAAACCAGGTGGGTTGAACGTTTTGAAGCCATTGAAAATTTTCTGGATTTGACGCTATCTGTTCTGAAAGCCTGTGAATCAATGATTCATACGCACTTTTTCACCGGAGATGCCGAGATGAAATCGCTCGTCTACGAGGACTGGAAATGGGATTGAGACACAAAGTATCCTTGGGAATTCTCATGCATTTGAAATGGCGGTGACTCTCACTGCACCGAAGAATGTCCTGTAGCCCCTAAGAGAGATATAAGACTACAAAAGACAGACATCGACATTCATGACGCGTACACCACCATTCACGTGGTCGTCGACGATATGGCAAGACATCGACAAGGAGGCTCCCCGCGCACACCTTCGTTCAAGGACATGGAGCAGAAATATAAAAGGGCTTTGGCAATTCCCTTCATTGATGACGTGAAAGAACAGCTACCTGACCGCTTTCCGGAAGAACCGACCGACATCATCGCCGCTCTAATACCAGCGATTCTCGTCACAGTCCCGACATAAAGCGACCAAGAGTCCTTCAACGCTAGCGTTGAACGGTAACGATCGTTCACGTTAACGAAACTTGCTGACTGAAATTCAGATATGGCGTGGTTGCTGGAGTAAGAGTCAGGAAGTTTCATAAAGGGTATGGGGCACTGTTCCAAGGATTTGCTTTCTAATATTTACGTGCTGCTACAAATAGATTCCGTAATACCTGTTACAAGCTACGAGGTTGAGCGATTGTTTTTGGGCGTACGCCGAACCAAGACGGGGCTGCTTCGACCATGAGTGCTGGGCATCTAACTGCTCTTGTGTCCATGGACAGGAACCATGGTCACAAAATAGAGTCGTAGGAAGTCGTTTCACGATTTGTCAAAGTTCAGCCACGTAGGCTTTTTCCAGTCTATACGATTGTGCTACCGATGACATTCTCACCGTGACGCGACAATGGGCAAAGAACTGTCAAAATCGTGGGATAATTATGAATATTGAATAAAATATTGTAGGGTTTTCTTCACATACTGAAGCTATGTTATTTGGAACAATTTTGAATAGACGCCCTCAGAATATATCTCAAAGAAATCATTTAGTTAGTGCTGTGAAGGATCGTGGTGTTTCAATGGAATCCACGGCCACTTTGGCAGATTTTTGGGACATTTCTGACTCATTTAAAAGGGTTAATTTCCTTCAGAAAATGGTCTCAGTTGCAAGGAAATCGACCCCGGGTCATTATTCCGAACTCTTCCCTGATCACATTGTAGAAATAGTTAATACATTATATCAGGGAGTATGATTAAGAAACCCTGCCTCGCACGGCAAAACTTAGTATTGCACCAAGTCGCCCTCTCTAACAAAATCATATAAAAATTCAAAGTAATTCTGGTGTACGGTAAAACATGCACGCACGGCGTGTATGTATTACGACATGATTGATAAGCAACGTAAGGAACAATACAAAAAAATTAATAAATGTAACACTTTAGAGTTAGCCAGTAACTATCAATGGATGGGCTTATCTGGCGTCTAAAAGGATTGTGTTTGAGAAAAGAACAAATGTAAGATAGACGTCCAGTTTGCCAGGTACCGAGCTTACCGTAAGTTTGTAGACTTTTCTTATCTTCCGTTGTTAAAGAAAGCAATGGTGTATTTGTCATTAAATGATCACCGTAAACGCTGTATTGCTGAATATCATACTTGATTACTATCAAACGTATTTCATATTTCTATAAGATTAACGGCCACGCTCGAAGTAGGTATTTCAGTTGAAGTAGTAATTGTGAAAAACTGAATGCTAAATCAATTAATTGATAATTTCATATATTACACAAGAGTAGAATCTGTATTAAAATCTAATAGATTTAAACGGAGTGTAATTTATATCACATCGATATTTTTCAATAAACCGTATAACTTATTAATACTTCAAACACATTCTTTATAATTCATGTAAAAGTTGTCAAACCACTTTAAAATTCTACGTTAACTTGGAAATAACAGTGTCTACGTAAATAGCCAAAGATTCTTTCTCTTATTTTCTCAAATAATCCAAACATTCAACTTTCCATTGATGATTATTAAAATAATTTCAGACTACCATGTTTCTTGGGTGTTTTTTAATTTTGACTTCCTGTTTTTCTTCTGGTCTAACTGCATCTCTATATAAAGATATATATCACAAAATCGAACAAAATAGCCATTTAAAAGACGCCATTTGGAGGAGTTACCAAGATTTGGGTAAGAGGTATTATTTCGGGCATAAAACATAGTGGTGTTTATTTCAGCTATAGTGGGAGCAACGGGAGAAAACTCAAAATATTTAGTAGGCAACCCCAAAACGCGATACGTACAGGCATGGGATCGATCCAACCGTGACTTGCATATAGATGGCAGATCCCACATATTCGACCAATCGACTCACCAATCCCACGCATTAGAAGGACATGGAATTTAAATAAATAAAACTGTGCAATGTTTTCGGATATGACATTTTGATTGAAGTTTGCATCAAAACAGTGTAGTAGACCCTTACATCCTGCCCTCGGATCCATTCACTTGATCTGACAGTACTTTTATTGTTTATTGCTTTCTATGTCCGTGTGTTGTGTATCTTGTCCGCATGTTTGTCTTTTGGGTTTCTATTTCTTCGTCGTGCGGTTCTTCTGTGATTTCAGATGCGAAGTTTACTAAGTCGTTTGTCCCAGGCTAAATTAGTTGCCTACTGGATCTTGTTTACAGGTCTTATATATAAGGAGTGGGGTGGGGCAACACATGCGGCCTACATTCTCTTAACCGGAATCAAATGTCGTGTTCAACGAAAGAAACACGCGTAATATTTAACAATACCGTGACTCTGTAGAAGAGTTAAGAATTGCTCATAGAACTGTTTACATACACATTTTGTGGAATATTTGTATTTTTTTTTGCCCAGGAAATGGGCTGTCTAAAACACCCTGCCAAGTCCTACATCCAAGAAATAACACCCATCATGTCACCTCACATATAAATCCCCTTTGTACCTAATATCTTGCGCCGCCTTCAGCAATGTACGGTCAATCACTATCAGTTTTTCATGATAAATTAAATGCTACATCACCGAGATATCTCTTTTGTTTGAAGTTTATAGATTCCATTTTATCTTGTTTTCTTTTTTTTATTAGGTTATGGTAACTCCCACTTCCGTATGGCGACGCCATCTTGGTGGGACCTCGATTTGGATGACATATTTAATCAGATACACGATAGCATCAAAGGCAAGTATGGCGAAATTCCCTTGGCACTTTTACAACTGCTAAATAATATTGCTGGTTGGTCGAGCGAATCCGCAGCAGATCTGCCTACGAAAGAACAGAGATCAGACCCAGTCCCAGAACGCACAGACTTCAGTTTGGAAGACATTTTTAACAAGATTAATGATTTTATCAAAGGTTATGCCACATCAAATTATTTATCGTTTTTAATAAAAAGAGAAGCTGCCAACAAAAACATGGATCGTAGTAATAAATAACATTTATCAAAATAGTTTTTATTGTTACTGCATGACCATCGTAACGTAGAGCGAAGGAAGCAAAATGTGCTTATAAGGCACGGCACCCCATCAATCAAGTTGTGGTGGTAATCGCGCCTCACCATTTTTTTTTTGGAGGTGGGGACACAAATGCCCATAAAACCAAGTGCCCAACCAATATCACTCGGCTTTAAGGGGCACCCATACTGATATGGGCACGTTGGTCGTTGGCTTCATATTGCGTCCAATGGAAAGGGCGCCGATTTTTTCAGCCCCCCCCCCCCAGTTACGGGCCTGCTATCGAAATTACAACGGCATTCAGGGCTTATATTAACGTGCCTACTGTCACGGACGTGCCTCTGGATAAAATGTCTGTGCTTTGAAAATCTTAAATCCGTGCTTTGAAAAAATGCTATGTAGCCTTTCGAATCTGTTGTCAAGATGTATAGGTAAACTTAGCTATCATTATAATCATCGACCATTTTTGATTTCTGTTTCAAAATGTTTGTATCGTTGACGTATGCCCACCACCACCCAAAGCACGAAAATTACATAGCAGACCATCGTCACTCAGTTGTAGGTGACAGTGAAGGTTCGTTTGCTGTTGGATCGACTTTGGATGTTTCTTTAGGACGTTAATGATACTGACACACGGTTATAAATATGTTAATTATTTTGGATATAAAAGTATAAGCGTGATATAGAGTTATCGGATAAACATATTCTGGAAATTTTCGCAGAACCCCAAAACACTGGAAACCTTAGGCCAATAAAACCTTAGGCCCTGATGGCATGATATGTTACCCCAAGGATTTTTGTTTTGTACCTTTGGAGCAACTGATGCCACTGGAGCCTTAAGTGTTACGAAGTCTGTCGAATTAGAGATATTTTATTACATATTTTAGTATAATTAACTCGGTTATCCAGTCGCTTAGATAGAAATGAAATGGGGTTTAACGTCCTACTGTTTTGCCCCGAACTGGGCTAATGAAGACGGGCATACGCCATACAGTGTGCTATGAGAGACAATTTACTCGGCCAGCGGCACTACGGCCTACTCTTATATAGAATTGCAACTGTCAATGGATCTTTTACGTGCACGCCAATGTGTACACGGGACCTCGGTTTTTCGTATCATCCGAATGACTAGACAGCTGTCCTTGTCAGGCCCTCCGTCCTGCATCACTGACAAGGGGGAACCACGCCGGATGAACTTTCTCGGCTAATGTAGGGATCGAACACCCGACCTCCAGGCTAGAGAGCCAGCGTCTTACCCCGCTTAGAAAGATCAATTGAGAAGTTGGAATACAGATTAAAAATATACGAATGCCGTGTTTTGTTGTGATGGACACCGAAACGCCACAACGGCAAATTGTATTCACTATAACCAGTTGTGTAGTAATATGTATGGCGGGATTCGTGCAAAAGAACACATATGTATAATAATATTATGACCTTGATTTATTATTCCCCATTGTTGAAATATTAGCTATGGTATGAGTTTATTTAAAAACGGAAATTAAATTGTTTCTGAAATATTGTGAGAATAACAGGAAAAGGGGTCTAAGTTCAAGGATAGATTCTATGTCTAAAAGCACGTGATAGGAAAGTTACCATTTCATATTTAGCATGAGTGACCAATCACATGACTAATTACATTATAATTAGCCAATAGCATAATTAATGGCTGTGAATCTGAGCGTATATAATTTATAGAATATGCGTTCTAGGGTAGCATCATGAAGATTTGAGAGAGGGAACACCATGTAGAAATTCATTAGGAGAGACCGTTGAGGTCCAAGTGTCAACATTTGGGTTGAGAGATAGAGAGAATGACTTTATTATAATCTATGCCTATATCCTATGTATCGGAGCTTAATATAAAACTGCAATCAAGAAACTTGTATTAGGTGTTCCTGTTAACCATACTATTTAAGATGCAGTATATTCAGTCACAATGTGAAGTCGTCATCAATGTGGAACGTCAGGATGACATTTAAAGATACGTCCTAACCAGTTAAAGAATTACAAATGCAACCAGAGACAATACTAGACGATCAAGGGCTGTTCCAAAATATGTAATAAGAAAATAGTGCATGATTATATGCGGATGTGGCGACCGGTTTTAGTGTGTTGTCTGCTCTCCACGTCTGACAGACGACCCATGATGCTACAGTTGTAATATCTGCTATATCCCTTTAGTTTTCTATAACAATCCTTATGGATTCATTAGTATGTTGCTGATTATTTAAATGCTCAAATAGTGAATGATAATTAAACGTAATGTCTTCAATTCAACATTTTTGTATTTGTAGACAAGATAATGATGAATTGAACACATTAATTCTTACAGTTAATGGACCATTACATTAGATGCCAATTGTATCGTCTGCAGACAGAAACACCATCAACTATTTTTGACAATAACAGTGCGCACACTGACGACTTTATTCACGCAATGTCTGGAGACAGGAGTGTTGCAGTCAATTATTATTTATTTTTACAAGGAATACAAATTAAATTGTGTTGATCATTTAAACAGTCAATCTTTCTAATGCCTTTGCTGTCCTGTGTCCTTGATGCAACGGTGGAGCGTTCCAAAAGATACCTCTGTTGCTTCTTATTTCTTATTTGAATCCCCGTCACGTCTTGCCCGACGAGTGAGCACAAGTCTATTTTTATGGAAATTATTCTAGTGTAGTAGATTTGCATAGAAAATATGCAACCCAAGATCATTTCCGGCAGAAGGCAACAGATTTTGCGGGAAATATTTGTGAAATTGTGCGAAACTTTCCAATTCCACGATAAAAGAATTGCTGATTTTATGACATACATTTTTCAGTTATCTGGGATTGTTTAGACTGACTTTAAGTTACCGTAGCCTATAGGCCTAAACTGTGTCGCTTATGGAGTAGATAGAATACATTTTATTTCGTCCAAGTAAATCAGGACGTTCATGTCTGATATGTAACGAAGCCTTCAATCTCGATCAAAAAGACGAATTTTTGGCATTTGGCCGATTTGGCATTTGGGACCCACCGTAAATCGAACCGAACATAGGACATGTCTTTTGTGGGGGGGGGGGGGGGGGGTCCCTATGGAATGAAAATATTGTAACGGATTTAAGTGTATCAACAAGGTTTTACCTTTTTGTCTCCACATACTGAAGTTTCATTCCTCTAGACACATTAACCATAGTTCTTTTTGCGCCCACCTGAACTTTATTGACACAGATGTTATAGAGAAGACTATGGCACTGTACACGAGGTCTTTTGTTAATAATAGCTAGGCTTAATTTATTACAATTAACACACTGTTGTCGTGCAACTTACCAATATACATCTATTGTCATTGATCGAACGACTGAAAGTTGTAGCAAGACACGTGAAATGAGCAACATTTGATTAATTACTGAGTAAAATGTGTCGACAATGTATTGGAACAACTTGTACTGTTTCACATTAAGATCATCATGTGTCATAGATACATGCACGTCACACCTTGAATCATTCACGAGTCATTACCAACAGGGGAAAAAATCCATATTGGTACATCCGATAATTAGTTTTAACAGATTTTTATCTCCAATCATTTTAGCTGGTCTAAAAAATACGTTTTTAGTGATAGTGATGAGAACCTGTAGTATAGCCGTGTTTGCTATTTTTTTCCACTTTCAGGCCTAAACCATGAAAGAAAAGTAGAAATTTTAGATGGTCAGTCAGGGATACAGTTGGACATCATTTAAATATGCGTAATCAGTTTACCCATTAACTGGATATAGAACTCAGGATGTCCACACAATTAAAAAAGCCATGAACATACACTGCGTAAAAGATGTAAAAAAGTGGAATTTTTACATGGTCAGCCAAGGACACAATAGGACATCAATTAAATTCGCGTTATCAGGTGAGTTACGGTGGCTAAGTGGGTAAGACGCTGGCTCGCTAGCCTTGAGGTCGCGTGCTCGATCCCTGCAATGGCCGAGAAAGTTCATCGGGATTTTCCGACGTGGCTTTCCTTGTCAGTGGTGCAGGACGGAAGGCCTGACAAGGTTAGCAGTCTAGTCGTTTGGATGGGACCAAAAACCGAGGCCCCGTGTATACATTGGCGTGCACGTAAAAGATACCATCTCAGTTGGAAATCGATATAAGAGTAGGCCATAGTGTCGCTGCCCGGGCAAAATTTCTCTCATTGCGCACTGTATGGCGTATGCCCGTCTTCATTAGCCCAGTCGGAGCAGAAGGACGTTAAACACGGTCTCAACACCAAACTAATCAATATAATACCATGTGTATATGGTATTTACCCTCCCCCCCCCCCAACTTGTGCACTACCTGCACCCAATCCTGTTTAGAGCACGACAGAAAAGGGTTAGCAATGTGGTATTTAGAAAGAGCTAATTGATCTAAACCACTTTCATCCTTGTCAAAATAAAATATTGGTTGGCAGATTATAATATTACGTGAGCGTGTCCGCGAGAGCACCATGCAGGGGGTGATAACCCTTGGGTCAGGGATTTGGACCAAATTTTTTCTGTGAGATGGGTTAGTACCCAGATACATTCCCACAAAATATTAGATTGATTCAGTTGATACTGACCTGGAAAATTGGAAAAGTATTTTTTAATCGAAAAATAAGCCAAAAATAGGCAATTTTGGATCCAAATTTGAATGACCTGCTATTCGGACAATAATTGATTTGGAAAGACAACATTTTGGGCATTAGTAGGACCACTCAGGTTCCTCCTTCACACTGAGTATGAAGTTTCTACTGCTAATTATACCTTGGTACTGGCCGGATACCCAACTCTCTCTGAAAATTGAATTTAATGAAAACCAATGTTTAAGAGGCTATAGCTCGTTCTTTGCAGGGACTAGGACCAAAGTTGAATATTACCCACAACTAGCAACCTTCCTACTAACAAAATAAAAAATAAAAATGACCGGAACAGTCATAATTGAAAACAGGAGAAATATATTAAAAA